CTCTCGCTGAATTTCTGACCATTACCGCATGCTCCCATCCGCTCCCACGATTTTTGTGTCCACTCCCGCAAACATTCTAATATTTTATATAATTTTCGCGCATCAGGGCGCAGCTATCAATATGTGGGGTATTTAAATCCCTTTTGAATGAGCTCTCGCAGTCGCAGTTCACGTTCACTTTCGTTTTGTGCATTGTGTAAAGTGAGCACATCTTACGATAAAAGATATTTGTCAATGAGCTCGGGATCTTTTGAGGAGAAAATCCTCCAACATCTTGTCAGTTATCTCTCCTTACTTTTGACCCGTGATCAGTCAAATCTGACTTCTGCAGCTCGGGATGCAGGGTTGTTATTTTTTTTCCACGGAATTGGGCTGCTTTTAAACTGTTGCCATGGGTTGATTTTCCCCAGTGGGTTAATTGCATAAATTACATTTGGTTGAAATGCTTGTACTGAAACATTTTGCATTCTACCTTGTGATCATTATTTTACCTTCCATGATCATTCAGACATGATTAGGTGCAGTACTGACACTTTGTACTACTCCGTAATCACAGGTAAACGGTCTGATCACTCAGATGTTTGTCTTGAGAAGTGTTCCACAAAACAGCTATGGTTTGCAGACAGTTATAAGAGTTGATGTTACAAATACATCTTTTAAATATACTGTGTGAACTTTATTCCCTCCTCAATAAGTTTTGTCAGTTGTTTTGTTTATTGGTCTAATTCTTGTTTCTTGGGTTGCATTGGTCAGTCACTCAATTAATTCTCTTGTGCTTCGTTCCCCACTTCTGAATTATGTTGTATTGATAAGGAGTTATCACAAAGCAAGTCTTTTTAGTTGTGCTATCTTACAATCAGTAAATGTAAGTTAAAGTGTCACCGATGTAACCGGTTAAAACTTGGAGTGGCGATGAGGTCTTAAAATGTATGGAAAGAGTCTTAAAAAAGGTCTTAAAATGTATTAAATCTAACTCCATGATTCTTGTATATACCCTGTTTTCTCCGCTGCACGTGCGTGTAAGCAGCCAAGTGAAGCAGCCGAGCGGAAATAAGTTGCATATGCGTGGGTGAGATTTTTTTTCATTCATTTTTTTTTTTTAACCGTAGATATGCAAATGTTTACGGTATGATAACCGTGCACGTTCAACCCGTGACAAACCAGCGGTCCAGGGTCACATATATAAAATTAATGTCCCTGTTACACTAAATTTTTACACTAAGTGCAAATAGCTATAGATTCTATTTACACCTAGCAGGATTTTGTGCTATTTATACTACTTATTGCAAATAGTGGCAATTATCTGCACCTATGTATTGTAGTACATTATAAAACAGTATGCAATAATAACAATAACAACGATGTGATATCTGATTTGAAAATGTGGATTCGAACCCCGGTCGATTGCGTCAAAATCGACTTCAACACATACTTCACCATCTACGCTACTGGAGCTGTTATTAGACGATAGTCTTTTGTAATGCTTTGTAATCACACGTTGGTGGGCAGAGTTAGTGTAAAAAGCCTCTGCCAACAAGGCGGGCTATTTGCACTTGTAAACACTCCGTTGTGACAGAGGCATTGCCTCCTCTCACGTGACTTTCCCCCATTCATTTTAATGAGCCTCCAGAAAAGTCACGGCATGCTTTGGGGTCTCTGTAGAAAGTCAATGGACCAAGGGGAGGCAAGCCTCCGCTGTAACTTTAGCTGTGGGTGTCGCTGTTGGACAGTGTTACTTTATAAAAACGAGTGACTTTTAGACTGTTAATGTCATATTTAGTCATATTTGCGTCGTTTTATTTTTGTAATATCGATTATTTTCTCATCCACTTTTGAGGAGAGGAGACACTGCCTCCCTTGCCTCCTCGGAGGAAACGCCCCTGACCCCTACCCTAAACTTACCCTTAAAACAATGAAAATATATTTTTGGTAGCACAGTCTGATAGGTAGCATGTTTTGTCGGTACACCGTCTCACTAAATGAGGACATAAATACATGAACAACATCTCCAAAACATTTGAGTAAAACTAGCCTCACATCACACAGAAATTTAAAGGTATTCACAGCAACCCGTCAGAATAAAAGTTCGGTTTGAGCCAGAGATATTGTTCAGTAGAATGTACAAAATACTAATAGCCTACTACAGACCAATTTGGAGTAGATGTCACAGTTACATCACTTGCAGCTGCGTGCGCATTGTGGTGGCATAAAAACACTGGGAACAAACAAATGGAGGGAAACGGGGAAAATCCATGGAATAAGAGAAACAATGTATTGTGCCTTTGGATGTCAGAATCGGAATGCAAATAATTTGTATATAATACTTTTGTCAAAGACGCCATTTGAAGCTAAATGCAGACGTTTAAACAGACAGACTATGGATGAAACCTGCTATGATTACCCTACTTTTAAAGCATACATTTGATTTAAACAATAGGTCTATATAATATTCATATAGGGGACATATTGTATTAGCCCTACAGTTGAAATACATGCATAAAATACTATTTAAACTTACAACATTTTACATAACATTTACCTATTTTATCTCACAATTTTTTTTCTTGCAAATGCAAGTTTATATCTCCTAGTTCGGACTTTATAACTTGATTCAACTCAACAATTGTGAGTTTGTTAATTCTAAGGAAAAAAAAGCCAGAAGTGTGGGATTATAAACTAAAAAGAAAGAATGACGAGTTGATTTTTCTTAACGATTTTTCTTCGTACCGTGAGATATAATCTCGGAATTGCAAGAAAAAGTCAGAATTTTGAAATATAAACTCAATTTTTTTTTCTTTTATTCCATGGCTTGAATAGACTGCTACGTTAAAACTGTCATTTTCTGCCACCAGATAGGCTCCACCCACAAAAAAATCATCACTGTTTGCAAACACCGAATTGGTCTATTAGCCACTGCACAGCAACTCTACTTCAACATCCACACTATCCTAACAACCTCAGCAACACAATAAAAACTATTCAGAACTTAGCAACACTATGGCAACTTCTAAAAAACACTTGTTAAAAACACCCTGGCAACCAACCTAACAATGCCCAAGCTGCCAACCTCAACCCGACTGCATAACAACATATAAACCATTTAGATCACCATAGCAACCAATTATCAACCAATTATCAATTATCAGCAACCTCGCAACATGTTAAATAACCAATCACAACACATTAGCAACTGCATAGCAACACTATTCAATCACTCACAACATTAAACCGTCATAGAAGCCTCTTTGCAATATATTAAACACTCGGGTACTGAATGAGTCTACAGCAACCACTTACAGTAGCAATGCCCTGAGCAACCACCTAGTAACAGCACAGCAACATGTTCAGAAACATTCAGAACACCACCTACCAACACTATTGCTGTGTCTCATTTAGAAGGCTGCGCCCTTCGGAGGTCGAATCCTCTGGAGGTCGCATCCTCTGTAAAAAAATGTCATCACTGTTTGCAAACACTGTCATTGGTCTATTAGTACTACTACTAAAATTATTAAAACTTTAAGGAATTAAGGAATAATCACACAACGTTTCTTCCATGTTTTAATGTTAATAGTAAATCCCCTATGTTTGCCAAAAATAAACTTTAATTTTCAATAATTAAAAGATAAATGAAATTAATGTATTATGCCTTCATTTGATAACCAGACAATTTTAAATACACAACACAGGATTTCTGAGAAAAAAAAATAAAAAATCATAAAGCTATTTTAAGAATAAATTTGAATGAATGAAGTTGTTTTTATGCATTCAAATGATTAGACATGCTAAAACAGAATTTGGTAACAATAAAACATATGGTGAGAAAAAATAAAATGGTTCATAAGGCCCTAAGCATGTAGTTTTTTTTTTTTAGTTTGTTTTACTTTTAATAAATTGATGTGAAATTGTATACGTTTCATGATTTTAATTAATTAGACATGCTTTTTGATTAATACAACTTTGCAGTATTTACATTTAAAGACATCCGGTAATCACTCATTATGTGTGGCTGTAAAAGATAAGAGCTCCTGCATTTCCACAGTTTCATTGAGCACCCATCAGGATTTTAATTGGGGTTATTCCCATAATGTTCTCTCTATGACAATAAATTTGGCAGCAGAGGTGAATTATGGTCTTGGCTTTGGTACAGATTCAGCCCTGTTCTCATACACTCTTTTAATGTTACATGTTCCGTCCGTTAGCCAAATAAATGATTCCTCTTTGGAGGAGAGGCAGGAAATGATGCTCTGGCTTTGACAGAACTGTTTATGTTTCCCACCTTCAGATGTTGGAAGCACATGTTAATGATGTTGCTTAACCCTAATAGGGTGCTCACCAAAAGTCTTTGTTATACATATTCATTTATTGTACACATCATGCCAAATTAATATATTTCCACATTTTATGGCTGTACTGTGTATACACATAATTCACACAATTCATGACGTTTCTTGTAACATCATACGGTTGTGGGTGGCATGACTGTTGTGTAGATTGGCTGTGAGATGATGACACTGTAAATTCTAAAAATACCATATTTTATGCAGTCTGTGATAATTTTGATCAGTTATGATTAAAGCCATTATGTTTTTATGTGTTATCCTATTTCAGACACGGATTCTTGTTGCATTTTGAGGCTGTAACCCTGTAATTCACCTCTACAGGTTCTCACTTTGTGAAGTTCTTTGCACCATGGTGTGGGCACTGCAAAGCTATGGCTCCAACATGGGAACAGCTTGCCACCAGTTTTGAGCATTCAGACAGTGTCAAGATCGGCAAGGTGAGAGAGGCCATTGTGGTTTCTCTCATGTTTTTTCTATACTGCAAATTGACTTCTGTTTTCTGATATTTACATATTTTGCTTGCTAAAGGTGGATTGCACACAGCACTATGAGGTGTGTTCAAATAATCAGGTTCGTGGTTATCCCACGCTGCTCTTCTTCACTGATGGAGAGAAGGTAAGAAAATCTAGAGTGGCATAATTTCTTATGATGTGTATTAATGTGTATACATTATACTGTTCAAAAGTTTGGGGTTGGTAGTTTTTTTTTTTTTTTGAAAGTCTCATACTCAAGACTGCATTTTTTTGTTTAATATATATTAAAACCGCAATACTGCGAAATACTACAATTTTAATGAACTATTTTCTATTTGAATGTGTTAAAATGTAATTTATTCTTGTGACGGGAAAGCTGAATTTTCAGTACTCATCTTCAATGTCACGCGAAACTCATTTAAAGAGTTATTTAGTATAATTTTGCCAGGAAAAGTTTTAGAATTTTTATCAAATGTTAATGTAAAAAATCTTGTGTACTATAACATGTTTGTTTGTTTGCTGGTTTTTATTGTATTTGTTATACTTGCATTTTTTGACTTGTTTTTTACCATGAAAATAGCCTAAGATGCTGACATGGCATTAAATAAATAATTAATTAGACATGCTTTTTGATTAATACAATTTAATTTAACCGTTGGAGTCCAGACAAATTAAAACGGATTATACAGTTATACAGTGCTGTTGTGCAGCATCTAATTTGACAAAATAAAAATTCAATGTTTTGTTGTAAATTAATTGTTTTTAAAACAAATTGATTAAATTATTACAGTTGTATTAATTCATTTAATTGCACACTATTGTTTTATGATAAATTTGTATTGACTTATAAACACAGAATCCAGGAAAAAATTTAATTGAAAATAGAGCACAGGGGAAAACAAAACAGATTTCATTCGGCTCTAAATTAAAATATAGCTCTGTGGAGTTTAATTGCAAACAAACAAAATATCTTTATATTCATTCTCAAGGTCTAATAAACATGTGCAAAGCATTTCTTTCCCCATAAATGGTAAATTAATAGTGTGATGAATATCGATATTGTATGATATTTTTATTGTATTTGTTATACTTGCATTTTTTGACTTGTTTTTTACCATGAAAATAGCCTAAGATGCTGACATGGCATTAAATAAAAATATACTACTACTCAATGTCACACAATCCTTCAGAAATCATTCTAATATGCTTATTTGGTGCTCAAGAAGTATTTATTATCATCATCAATACTGAAAGTTGCTTAATCTGCTGCTATAAATTTTTTATGGGAACTGTGATGAATGCAATGTTCAAAAGAACACGTAGTCATTATTTACTGTCCCTTTTGATCAGTTCAATGTGTCTTTGCTGAATAACTTCAAAAAAAAAACTTACCCCAGATGTTGCCCTTTTTTCTTTTGCTTTTCAGATATTCTGTTACTTTTTCTATGCTTCCTACATCCTCACAACCATGAACCACCATGCACTATTTTTCACTTGTAAAATCGTAATGTTCCCAAATAAGCGAATCAAATTGTAACTAGATGTTATGAATTAAGTATGGTAATAAAAGTCTGATAGTTGTCATAGTGTTTACACTAAAAAATAACAGTAACCGTGCACATGCCCTGTGTTTTCAGGTTGATCAGTACAGAGGAAAGCGTGATCTGGACTCATTTAAAGAGTTTGTTGATAATCACGTAAAAGCTGCTGAATCTAAAGATGAACCTGCGAAAGAGGAGGAGCACGCTCACGAAATCCCACCTAGCGCTGAACCTGAAAAACAAGAGGTGGGTGTCTGTTTTAATTTTCACACAGTACAAGTTTTGTTTGCAATTTCCTGCTTGGCACCATAGAGATTTGATTCGTTTGTGTGTGCGGGCAGATGTTTGAACAGCGAGCTGCAGAATTTGGCCCGTAGACACAAATCTGCATCTTGAAACCGAGGTAGTAATTATGGGCAGAGCAGCTATTTCCTCCTGCTGATACAAATGTGCATGTGTGCGTGCGCGTGGGTTGGTGGGCGGTGAACTTAAAGAGCTGTTATTTTGTTTTGTTAATTGGCTTTCCTGTCTAAGCTTGCCTTTTATAAAGGGGATTTTGGCTGGCTGGAATTGTTGGATGGCTAAATAGTGTCCCTCAAGAGCTCTGTTTCAGAGTTCTCGTTTTTGGTTTTTTTTGTAGTTTTAAAAGGATTATTTTAAAAGATTGTAAACCGTTGCTGGTGCCTTTGAGATGAGACCTTGCTCTTAAATAAATGTTCAGAACTGGTGTTGTAATTAAGGAAACCATCCAAGTGAGAGGTATTTAAACTTCAGCAGGATATGATCACCTGTGGAAATTCTCTAGGGGTTTTACTATGAATATGTTCTGCCTTGTGACGCATCAGTGCTAGAATGTAATTGACACATTAGTTAAAGGGGTGGTTGTCTGGTTTTTTTCTAGGCTTGATTGTGTTTATGGGGTGCAGTCTAACATGTGTTAATGCTTCGTTTGTTAAAAAACGCATTATTTTTCACATAATTTACCTTTATTCCACACCGTTCTGTCCCTTCTGCTTATGTTAGATTTTAATATACGGTTTTATTCTGATTAAAGCTTTAATACAGTTCGGCAACCGCACGCGTGTCCATGTATAACGCTTCTCATAGCTATAGTATGTGAAAATAAGTGTATTCACTGAGCTGATGATCTGAATGAGAGAGAGAGAGAGAG